ACTTTAAAACGCACAAAACGACAAAAAGACAGTTTTGTTTGAAAAATATTCCGTCGCTTTAAATAAAACGTCCCTTTGAGACATCGTCCTGTTGACCCATCGGGCTTACAGGAATGAGGGTTTAAATTAAAGCTAGCAAATAATAATGCAAATTAAAAGTGAATTTAATGCCCCAATTGGGCTGAATGCAGTCCTGACTTCACGTAGCCAATATTATCATTAAATTCATTTTTGCTTGATCCTCGCAGGATATTTTATTTATTGTACTGGGTTTTGAGTAGTACTCAGTATTTGCGTGCAACCGATAAGCGAACACGGTTAAATTCGCAATGTTTCTATCAGTTTCGCATACTTTCCTGGCAGTGTTGGTGCTTTTGCTCTCCGTTTGCTACAGAAGGAGCCGCAACATCAAAGAGAAGCTATGGTGGGTGCCGCTTATTCCAGGCTATCCAATTTTAGGAAATGCCCTAGAATTTGCCGATTCAACAAGTGAGCCATTTATTCAATTAAATTATTTGCGTTGTTGAACTGCACTTAATGTAATGATAACCGCCGATATAATTAGGCGGCAAAATATTTTTTCGGTGCGTGTTATCTGGCGCTATTTTTGGTTCAATTTTGTTGATTTATCTGCGAATTTCGCAGTGAATTGATTTCAAAGGCAAATAAACAAGCTGAACAACGCGTTTCTTGATTGGTTTTACATTTCTGAGTTTTTCCCATTAAAAATCCCAATTCTTTTCCAGTTTTATTTTTCAAATTTTAGGTGTTTAAGTAGCTACACATTCGCATTTTTAGTTAGGAAATCCGTTTAAGCGATCTGAAAACTTATATACTGGGTGCTCTATTAGCGAAAGAAAAAATCACTGAACAAGTTTCTGGAAAGCAAATTTGCAGGATGTTCCTGTTTCTTTAGTAGAGCGATTCTAATCCGAACTTCATCCCTGATTTTCTTAAACAACAAAATACTTTATAACAAACATAAACTCTACCTAAAAGTGAGTTTCAGATGACTATAAAAATAGGAGCTCTTTTGGTGGAGATCGAAAACTGAAATTGTCCAAATTCCTTGCGAAAATCATCCACTATTTAAATACGCTAATAGAAGACCTTGGAATTTGAATCCGTTTCGCATTAAAAATTTAAAAACAATTCAATTTACACTGAAATCGTTTCCCATGGTTTAGAAATTTTGGAAAGGATGAACCACTACGTGTTAAAGTACCAGGGATATTGCTATTTTACGTTGCTTTTTCGGCCCTTGATGTTGATATCAGATGCGAAATTTTGCGAATGGTTGCTCTCTTCCACCACGATTTTAACCAAAAGTAAGGACTACCAATCCCTGTACAATTGGTTGGAAGGTGGCATGCTCATTTCGAGTGGTAAGTACAAAATAATTAAAGCATTCCTTTGAAATATCTCAGTTTTCCAGAGCTATTCGTTCTTCAATGTGTTGTTTCATTCCCATTCTGAAAATAGGGCCCGAATGGCGCAAAGCCCGAAAAATCGTCACTCCCGCTTTCCATTTCGCCATTCTGGAACAATTCGTCGAGGTGTTTGAAAAACCGACTGCAATTTTGGTGGATTGCTTGCGCAAGCAATTGGACAAAGATGCGGTTAACGTGCATCCCCTAATCGCCAATTACACTCTGGATATTATTTGTCGTAAGTAAGAAACTTGAGGAAATTGCCAAATTTTTTGCAACGATGTGTGGAAAATGTACTAGAAACTGCCATGGGAGTGGACTTGAAAGTGCAGGAAGAATCTCAGAACGACTATGTTGCTGCTGTTGATGCAATGTGTAAAACTGTAGTGGAAAGAGCCTTCAATCCCCTAAAATCCTTCGATATTATTTATCGACTAAGTCCGGATTATTATCGGGAAATGAGGAACGTTAAGTTGCTTCATTCAGTCTCCAACACCGTTATCCAGAAACGCAGGAAGGAGATGGAAAGCGAAAAGAACAACGTGGAAAGTGTGAACGAGGATGGAACTAAGAGGAAAATGGCTTTTCTTGACTTGCTGCTGAAAAGTCGCGACGAACATGGACAACCACTTTCACAGGACTTTATTCGACGTGAAGTGGACACTTTTATGTTTGCCGTAAGTTCAACAGGTTCATAAGGCAGGTTTCTGCAATCAACATTTCAGGGCCACGATACAACAGCTTCAGCCATTAGCTTCGTCTTGTTCTGTTTAGCTAATCATCCAGACGTTCAAGTAAGTGATACATTTTTTCAGTATTATAACGCTGCAGTTCAGTCAATATTGACAAAAACATATCAATTTATTAGGCGATATCAAGCTTCGCATATTTAAGATAATATTGTCTGTACATACCCGTAAAAACCGACGAATTTGAAGTTTTTTATTGGTTCAGGCTGCAAAACTGCCTTAGTGCAGCTTTGTGTTGACATGTCTGTTATTTTGCGACATTTCCAAAACTGACAGTTGCTAGGGAATAGCAGGCTTTGATTGGTTCGCCAAAAGTCAACCAGTTCTTGCTGCTATGGTTACAAGGCAAAGCATAAGGAGAGACGCGCCAAATTCAAATTGCTTTTTCAGAATCAGGTTCTAAATGAAATAAAAGAAGTCCGGGGCGAAGGACAGAAAATTACGTATAAAGAGCTGCAAGAAATGAAGTATCTGGAAATGGTAATCAAGGAAAGTATGAGGCTGTACCCTTCGGTGCCCTTTTATTCCCGCCAAACCACTGAAGAAGTTCTTTATGAAGGTAAGAGTTGAAGAATCGTTGGACGCTCTTCTTCTACTGTCTTAAATTTTGCAGATGGCAAAGTGATTCCACAAGGAATCACGTTGATCATATCGGCATACGCCATCCATCGGAATCCACATGTTTATGAGCAACCGGACAAGTTCATCCCTTCGCGATTTTTCGATTTGGAGAGCAAACCATTCACTTATTTGCCCTTCAGTGCCGGTCCAAGAAACTGTATAGGTAAAATCTACGGGTAAACTTTCCTACAGCCCATTTGATCAAAGCAGGAATTTTCCAGGGCAAAAATTCGCCATGTTATTGATGAAGTTTGCCTTGATCAACATGCTGTCCAACTTTGAGATTTTGCCCTCAAATCCACCCTGTGAAATGGTTTTATCAGCTGAGTCGGTGCTGAAGGCCCATAATGGGGTGAATATCCGCCTGAAGTCCAGGACTTAGTTGCCTAAGGAATAGTTAAGCGATATTGTGACAGTATTAGCAGGTTGTATTAGTCTGGAGGAAAAAAATAGAATAAATTGTTCTTAAACATCAAAAGCTTTATTTTGTTGCATAGTGTGTGAAAAAGAGTTCCTTTTCGTCATTTAAGATAACATTTTGGATAAGTTCCTTGTTCAAATTCAAATTTAAACAGACTCGCGCGGGCAATTTTTATGGCTGGCAAGAGTCGATGAAATTTGGAAAATTTGGAAACTCCCTGATGATGATTGCAATCTTAAACTTTCCGGTGTTTCAAAGTGTAGTTTTCTCTGACTGAAGCACATCTACGAATTATGTCATCTCTTCTCAATTTGGAGAAATTTAGATTTTAATAAAAAGCTGTAAAACGAGTTCCAGGAATGGTTGTGGAAGGTTTGAAAATGTGTCTATAAAACCATGATGATGACACAAGTTCGAAACTTTCCAGACTTTTATATGAAACGCCAATATGCGTTCCTGCCTTCAGTTTATTGAAGATAAATTAATATAAAAAAAAATTGGTGCCTGTAAAATTTCTGAAACAGTGAATAAAAGTTTGAAATTCCTCTAAAACTCCTCGATGATGGTTGCAATTGGAAACTTTCCCCAGTTTCAAATCTTTGTCTATCTAATGTAAATTTTTGCTACCGGCTATTTCTTCCTTCCATTGAGAAATGAAGATTTTAACCGCAAAGTGTAAAACCAATTCGACGAATGGTTGCTAAAACTTGATGATGATAGCAGTTCGAAACTTTCATAACTTTAAAGTGCATTTTGTATATGTAATGCAAACCCGTGCAAGTTCCTACTTTCAAGCTTTTGAAGAGAAATTAATATTTAAAGAAAGTAGTGCGGGTAAAATTTCTGGGATCGTGAATAAATATTTGAAAATTTGTTGAAAAATCCTCAATGATGGTTGCAGTTTTAAACTTTCCACAGTTTTAAAGTTAATTTTTCTCTATCTAATACAATTTGTCGCTATTGACAGTTTGTTGCCAGTTTAGAGAAATTAAGTTCTTAAGAAAAGGGGGCAAACCAAGTTTCAGGAATGGTGGTCAAGTTTTCTAGTTTTTACTATAAAACCCTGATGATGACAACAGTTCGAAACTTTCTAAACATTTAAAGCGCAATTTTCTGTATTGAATGAAACTTTGCGCAAATTTCTTTTTTCAATTTATTGATGCGAAAATAATATTTTAAACAAGTAGCGCGGGTAAAATTTCTGAAACGGTGAATAAAAGTTTGAAAATTCCTCTAAAACTCCTCGATTATAGTTGCAATTGGAAACTTTCCCCAGTTTCAAACTGCATCTTTGTCTATCTAATGTACATTTTAGCTACCGACTATTTCTTCCCCCTATTGAGAAATTAAGATTTGAACAGAGTAGATCTCAAACGAATTTCAAGAATGGTTGTTAAAATTTTATCTAAAAACTGTGTCTAGAAAAACTTGATGATGACAGTAGTTCGAAATTTTCATAAATTCGAAAGTGCATTTTTTGAAAAATTATTAATTTAAAAATGGAAAAAATATAAACAACTTCTTCTCACATCTGAGCAATTTCAGCTCAGTAGAAAACACTTCACACAACTTCAAGTGCTCAGAACATAAAACTTGAGAACTGGATTGCTTTTTTAATGCTCGTTAGTTTTGCCAGTTCACCCAAGAAAAGGAAAAAAGGAACGCTCTTGTCCCAATATGTCGATGACACCACCCTTTGTGCAAACAGCTTTCTACAGAAATTATTTTCTACCTTTAGAGAACATTTTTCAGAAACATTAGCTTATCTAATATGAAAATACCATTCTATGATAAACCTTTTTTATCGCCGACAGGGAAATTATGATGAGTTTTTCCATTGGGTCAACAAACCTTCTCAATCAATTTCGACGAAGTCTGTAGTTAAATCGGTTTCGATAATAATAAGGCGCCAGGTGTTCGATCTAACGAAGCTAATGATTTTCGGTTTTTTTCTTCAGTACATTCATTCCCAGTCGGATTTAAACCCTAAAAAGCGCCCATCTGTGACCCGAAGACAAAATGTTTTCTTAGAAGTGAGCACTTAATAATTATGAAAGATTTGATTTTTTCAAGTTTCCGGTCATCTCAGTTGGGGCAATTTTAGATGAAATAAAAACACAAGCCTGACCTGTATGTTATCGCTAATTTATTTGCATTTCCTCATCAAAATGGTCTCCTAACGCTAATCGCAACGCTCATTAGTGCGGAGTACCAAGTAGTGAGCGGTTTGAAAATGACAATATTATACGTTTTATTGTCTTTGTTGGTGGGCTTGCTAACGTTTCTCTTCTGGAAGCACCAGAACGTAAGAAAGCAACTAAAATGGGCCCCAACCGGACCTACCTATTACCTATTAAAACAGTGCGATCTCATGGACTCAACAAGTGGGTACAATTGCGTGATAAAATCGCCTTCTAATCTAGAAAATATACCGTTTTCACGAGTTGTTCAAGCTTGAGTGTTTGCTTGGGCTTTCAAAATATCTCAGACTAAAATTATCTTGTTTGTTTTAGAAAACTTGGAGCACATCAGGTCGCTTCTAGCCGAAAACAATGGACTGTGCTACGTAGAAGTATTAACCAGACCGGTTTTGTTTGTTTCTGATATGAAAATGTTAGAATGGCTGCTTTCATCCAACACCATTCTTAAAAAGTCCAAAGCGTATGATTTTTTGCACGGCTGGCTGCAAGGAGGCCTGTTAATTTCGGACGGTGCGTGCGGTCTATTGCCACTCTTTACATTGCATGGTTATTAATTAATTAATCAGTTAAATTAAAAAATCAAGTTTTAATCTTTAAACCGGCTTACAGTTTGTCAAACGAATGAAACCTTGAGCTTAAGAAGCGAAAAAAAGTCGCGAGCTCTGGTTCAATTGCTTAACTTCTTTCGATGCTTGGAACCTCAGCTTGTTCTTAAAAAGAATACACAACTAGTCAATTTTAAAAAGCTTCAATCAATCATCGTGTTTTAGGAGCTAACTGGCGCAACAGTCGAAAGATCCTGAGCCCAGCTTTCCATTTCGGGGTTTTGGAACAATATGTGGAAGTTTTTGAGGAACCGACCCGCGAGTTTCTGAAAATACTTCGGAAACAATGCGGAAAAAATCAGGTAGACATTCGCCCCTTCGTGAGCACCTTCACTCTGGATGTGATTTGCCGTACGTAAAATTCTTGATGATTGAAAATGATAAAACTTTACCCCTTCAGACGTGCTTTTCTCAGGCCAACAGGTCTAAAGTCGCTGAAACAATTTTTCCGTTCGGCGCTATCTTTTAAAAATTCGAATCTTTCAAACTAAGGCAAGGAGCAATTTGAAATTTTCACCGCCCCTAGAGGGCCTTTCACCCTAAAGATGCTGAAATTTTCATGAAAGTCCGCCCGAAATTCAAGTTTTGTCAGCTTAGTAAATATGCCTCTCAAAATAAATGATTATGCTGAACTGCGCTCTCGCCTTTAAAAATTCACATCTTTTAATCTAAATGAAGTTGAAAGTTCTAGTTTTTACCATCGTTTAAAGACGTTCCACTCTACAGACGCTGAAAGTTATATAAAAATTATCATTATTGCCAGTTTTGTTAATATGGGCATTAAAATAGATGACTTTAATAAGATGCGCCTTTGCTTTAAAAAAATCACATCTTCTAAACTGAAGCAACTATTCACTTACAATTTTCACGATCTTTAGAACAAACCTCAATCTAAAGATGCACAAAGTTTCATAAAAGTCACCCAATATTTCGATTTTTGCCAGCGTGGATTTTTGGAAATTTTGCTCTCGCCTTTAAAAACTCATATCTTTCAAACCAAACCAAGTTGTAACTTGGAATTCTTCTGCTCTCTAGAAGATAGTTGGATATAAAGATGTTGATCGTTTTATGGAAATCGCGGGAAATTCTGAGTTTTTACATTCACACGCTATCAAAAATTACATCTTCTCAATTAAATCCAGTAGAAACTTCAAAATTTCCACATCTTTGGAAGAATCGCCCGGCTGAAAACGCGCTAACTTTCATAAGGCATTTTGGTTTTTGCCAGCTGAATAAACATTGATCTCAAAATGGATCATTTGCTGCGCTCTCAAAAAATCACATCTTCCAAACTAACAGCAGAAGAAATTTGAAATTTTTAACACCTTTGGGAAAAGCTTTGCTCTAACGACGCGAAAAGTTTCTTAAAAATCGCCCCGCATTCTGATTTTCTAGCAAAAGATCAACTCTTTTGCTAGTTCTGTGAACGCATGGCCGTTTATATCGACAACAAATTGAAAACTTTCAAGGTATTAAAAGATATTTTTTTCTACTTAACACAAAACCCTGCGATTACCTTGCGAACGTTGTTGAGCATAAATATTTATTGGAAATATTCGGGAACCTGATCTCCGAATCGCTGATACAAATCTTAAAATTTACAAAAACATCCTTGATAATGACACCGATTCGAAACTTTTCCTTTACATTTCTAAAATGCCTTTTCCTCTTTCTAATATGAACCTTGCCAAATCAGTGCCTCTTTCCGTTGATGAGAAATGAATATTTCAAGAAAAGATGCAACATTTTCCAGGCAGCAGAAACAGCACTTTCTCAAGCTGACGCAAAATTACCACATCTTAATTTATTCTAATTTTTCTATGCCTTACGGCAAAGCATTATTTACATCTGAGGTTTTACCAAAATAATGCAGGATCAGCTATGGGTGTTCAGCTAAACATCCAGACAGAATCCAAAAACGAGTACTTCAATGCTGTCTCCTCAATGTGCGAACTTGTGGTCAGACGCATTTTCAGCCCAGTAAAATCCTTTGATTTTCTGTATCGCTTTACTGCCGACTATGCAGAAGAAAAGAAACACTTGGAGCTTCTTCACAAAGTCTCCGATGGTGTCATTGAATTGAAGCAAAAATTACTTGAATCCGATGAGGTGCAAGACGAAGTCAATGAAGTGGGTGCGAAGAGAAAAATGGCTTTTCTGGATCTTCTCCTCAAATATCGGGACGCAACTGGAAAACCGTTGTCAAAGAGCTTTATCAGGAAGGAAGTAGACACATTTATGTTTGCAGTAGGTAAAACAGATTTTTTTATTTATTGGATCCAATTGTCGTTCTTTGATGGCAATTTGACTATTATTTCCTCTAAAAACAAGTTGTTTTCGAACTGTTTTAACGCCTTTTTAAGGGTCATGACACAACGGCTTCAGCCCTTAGTTTTACTTTATACTGCCTAGCAAATCATCCGGATGTTCAGGTGAGGAACGTTCAGTTCAACTCCTTTTGGCCTGATTATATGATTAATGCAGGCTAAGGCGCGGAATGAAGTAGATGAAGTCGTCGAAGCCTCAGAAGCTTTAACGTACAAAAAGTTGCAAGAGTTGAAATACATGGATCTGGTAATTAAGGAAGCCTTGCGATTGTATCCTCCAGTGCCCTACTATGGTAGAATTACCACTGAAGAAGTGGCGTTTGAAGGTAATGGGCCTCAAGAGGCTTCTTCAAGCTGAAAAAAGTGTTTTCTAGCCAATAAAATTGTGCCAAAGGGGGTGGTACTCACTGTGGTGGCATATGCAGTCAATCGGAATCCTGAAGTGTTCCCCAATCCAGACGAATTCATCCCTACACGTTTTTTGAACAGTGAAATCAAGCCCTTTACTTATTTGCCGTTCAGCGCTGGGCCTCGCAATTGCATAGGTAATCATTCTTAAAGCTGAAATCCTATGCATACAATTTTCGATGGATCTAACTAAATAAAGCAGGTAGAAACTTGAAATTTTCTCCATCAGAAGACGATACGTCCCTCTAAGGATGTCGAAAGTTTCATTGAAATCGCACAAAATCGTGAGTTTTGCCAGCTTAGTTTGCCGCGTGTGGCTCGAATGGTTCTTGAGAAACTTCGAAAAAAGCAGCGTCATGTTCAAGTGGATTTTGCAACTCAAAAAAAAACCACGCAAATGTAAAACTTCTTGAATTCAAGCATTTTTTGAGAAAACTACCAACATTTCCCCATCCGTGGTTCACTTTCTAAAAAGCCTATTTATTTCTGTCTAGAATGATGTACAAATGAGCATTCTTGCTCATTTTGCCTCTGAGAAATGAGCAAAAATGGGTGTAAAAATTGATATCTTCCAAACCAAAGGAAGAAGAAACTTTCAGTTTCCACAGTGTTTAGCTAACACATGATTCTAAAGACACCAAAGGTTTCATAAAAAATGCTCTGCATTCCGAATTTTGCCAGCTTGGTAAATATGGGTCTCAAAATGGATCATTTTACTCAATTGCGCTCTCACTTTAAACATTCACATCTTCCGAAGTAAAAGAAGTAGAACCTTCAAGCTTTTACCCTCATTGGGCAAGTATTTGCTCTAAGGACGCTGTATGTTTCATTATAATCGCCCGAAATCCTGATTATTGAGAGCTTAGGAAAAATTGGTTTCAAAAGGGATGTTTATACACAACTGCGCTCTCGCTTTTAACAATTCGAATAGAATAAACTTGAAATTTCCCAAAACTTTAAAAAATAGATACAACCGAAGACACTTAAAGTTTCATTAAAATCCCCTGGCATTCTGATTTTTGCTTCGGTGGTAAATATCGGTCTAAAAATTGATGCTTTTTTTTAAATGCGGTCTCTTTAAAAATGCGCGTCCTGCAACATCAAGGAGGTAATCATTAGAAACTTTTGCTACCGTTATAAAATACTTTACACTAAAGTTCTTAAAATTCCCATTAAAATCGTTCAGCATGATGATTTTTCTCAGCGGAATAAATATTGGTTTCAAAATGGACGCTTTTACCCAATTGAATTGCACTTTCCCCTGCGAAAGAAGTCCGAAAAAAATCTTCCAAATTAGCGCAGTTCGAATTTTAAAGTTTTTAGACAATACGTGGCTTAGATGCTGAAAGTTTTGTTAAAACCTGCAAAAAACCAGAGAAACTCTGTTGGGTACCACAATCGAAAATTGAACGATTGCATGCATGGAACTTCACCTTCAGTCCCCCACTCATACAAGGAATGCACACCGTTTATTTATTTTTTAGGTCAAAAATTCGTTCAGTTAGAAATGAAGTTCGCATTAGCCAGAATTTTGCAAAACTTCGAACTTTTGCCCGCAACTCCCAACGTCGGATTGATTCTATCAGCTGAGACGGTTTTGCAGTCCAAAAGTGGAATAAACATCAGCTTAAAGCAGCGAAATAGCGAATAGGAGTGTTTTGTTTTGTGGTTTCTTTTGTATGGAATTTACGTAAAATAAATTTTGCGTTCAAAAAGAGTCCCGGAAGTTGATAACACGATACGAGGCCGGTTAGAGGCGATCAATCCGAAGAGCGGCTATTCAGGCGGCACACGTGCGCTTTGCGGATGCAGCTGCTGAATTTTTTTCCAAATGGGCACGAGGCCGTCAAAACACGATTCTCAAGTTTTAACCCTTGAATTTTAGTTGACTGCCTTCAGGACCCCAACTGGTTTGATTCGAAAAGGGGATTATTTATAAACGAAGATTTCGCGTTCATTTCCAGGCCTGTAAACAGCTGTTTGCTCCCTTTGCTTCCATTCAAAGAGTGCAAGATGGTAATTTGACGGGAGGAGTTTTACTATTTTTTGCCAGAAAAGTTCAAATTTTTTTAAAATAAAGCTGAGAAATTATTGCACTTGGCATCAGAAGTTTAAGGGACTAAGAGGAAATTTGATTATGTATGTAAAGAGAAAGGAATTACAGCTTTTAGAAGGAGAAGAAGTAACTAGACCCCATACAGTTGAATATTTCGCCCGGAAAATAACGCCATTCTTTTGGAAAAACATTGAAGATGGACTTGCAACTTGGCAACTCGAAAATAAAGGGTCAAAACTGAACTGAAATGTTACGAAACCAACTGAAGGTGAGGAAGGTTCGACAGGAGACGAAATGGGGTTTAGTTGGAAGAAGCGACGTTGATCCAGTGCAAAACATGAGCTCACAAAAACGATGTGAATTCAGGAACTGAAGAAATTCAGAATGATTTCTTCTGCTCTGGTTAAACCTCTAAAACAGCTCTAAAGAAAGCAGTTCTTCAACATTGGAAGTTGTTCACAAAACCAAAGCTTAGAAAAGTAAAAAGCAATTTTATCGACAAAAATTCCGCCAAAAACGTACAAAAAGAACGTTTACTTTCATTCAAAGAACACCATTCTTCACCTAACTATCACCAGGTTTCCCCATTATTGCCCAAACCAGTTTGTCGCTTTTGACTCCAACGTCACACACTCAATGAAAGCTTCCTTTTTATTTCCCAATAAACCAAGATGCCCTTAGTGAATCCGCTTGCAAAGACCGACATCTACGGCTTCCAAACCCTTCATCGGGAAATCGGCTACTATATTTCCAAGTAAGTCACACACCCAAATAAAGCAGGAAACTGAAAAATTGCACATAGACTTGAACAATACGACAAGTCGTTGAAGTTCTTTGATGAAGCCATCAAGAAAACCCCGGACGATAAGCGCGCCCTTATTGGAAGATCCAGAGCCAGATCGAAGGTGATTCAATATGAAGGTGCTTTGGAGGACGTAAATCGGGCCCTCAGCTTGGACCCCGATGACTTGGTGGTTCTGGCTGATCGAGCCCTGAACACCTATTTATGTTGCGAGTTTGAAGAAGGTTAAGGACGAGTGGTTGGAATCGTGCGGAAGATTTACCATGTCTTCCCCAGGCTTGGTGAAGAACATGCGGATGCTGCCAAAGCGGCAAAAGCCAGATAATTTCAAAATGGGAGTGATGCAATGCTCGGATGCTATCGAGAATTGTCTGGGCGATCGAGCTGGGAAGCCGCTGAGGGACCATTTCCAGATCATCCGAAGACTGGCATGGAAGAAGAACTACGCGGCCCAGAAGCCGTTTGAGCCCAAACCCACCAACATGCCCAAAAGGCGGAAGAAGATCATGCTGTCCAAGTTGCTGGAAGTGGAGGGAGTGAAGGAACCAGTCCAGCCCAAGCACATGAAGAGACAAGTGCAGAGTAAAGCGCTAGCAACTGCAACCACGCGATTTCCAGAGCTCTTAACTTATTTTCAGCCATCCCGGATGCAAATAAGCTTTTGAACATCCGCGACTCTCTCCACTCTGTCCAGCCGGACAACGAGCCAATCCCAAAGTGCAGCAAACCATTCCCGTTTCGTCCTCTGCAGCACCACACTACTAACATCGAGAATTATATGGCGGAAAAGTACTTGGACGCCATGTATTTGGACAAGATTTTCCTGAAGAAGCTCCAGAAGGAACCAGGCGCCAAAAGCCCCAATAAGGAGGGCACCAAAAAGATCCATCAACTAGCCAAGAACTGCTTTAAAAATGTAACTCTGTTCAGGAAGTTCTGAAGCACTGATTCAATTGTGGGTTTAGGTGTCTTACAAGCAGGAGCTGCTGAGAACCAGACGGCCCTTCTATTTCATCAAGTACCAAGAAGCGAGAGTCTCAGGGGCGCTGAAAGAACGCCAGAAGTGCGAGCTGGCAAATCAACAGCAGCAAGTTAAGAACGAAGCGGATATATTGAGCTCCAAAATGCTGGAGGCGTTTGAAAGGAAGGATCTGAGGACGTTACTCGATGTAGTGGAGAAACTGAAGCGGTTCTGCGACACCAAACCCACAACAATGCTGCCGACCAAGAGCGACTACATGAAGGAAATCTACGACAAGGTTATTGCCAAAGTTTTTCCGGAAGCCTAATTTTCCTTGACTAGGTTTGCAGCGCCTTCTACGACATGTACAGAGTGAACAAGGACCATTCGCAGTTCCAACAAACCAAGCGGATATACTGCATGTTGGGCATGCATCTAAGTCGGCCTCCCTCTGCCGATTCCGTGGTCGATCAGTTCAAGAACGTCTTTCTGGACTACAAGAAGAAAATCAATGACTTTTCGCTGCGGCTGGAAAATGCCACCACTGAGGAGGAAGTCTGTTGGTACTACCATGAATTATCCAGGTAGGTTGCAATTGTGTCCATTTGGGTAGTTCTCGGTCGTTTGGTCTGTTGGGAGATCAAAATCGCGCCCAACAAAGTAAGTCAATTTTACAAATTCATTTCTCTTCTAAGGACCATGTCGTGTGTATACACTGTTAAAAATGAGCTGAAAATTCAGTTACTTTTCAGTAAGTATTGTAACTGAAAATTCAGTTTTTGGTTGTTGAAAATCAATTCATGCACATTGTGATTGAATTTTCAGTATTCTTATTGAAAATCCAAAATTCAATAACATGTAACTGAAAAGTTTTCAGATCTTAACCTATTTGCAGGGACTGATTGAATATCTGTCAGTTCGTACTACAACGGACGAATTAACAGATTTCCAACCAATAGAACACTTTTGTATCATCGTACCCTCGTATAAACGGATGCATGGCTTGATCTATTCTTTCGACAGTGACGTGACAACTGCCAGCAAAGTTTATCACTGTTTTACCAAAAAATATGGTAGGCTACATTGGCGTGGAAAAAGCGCATCTCCATGCCAATCTGGAACAGCCGATACTTTGGTCACTTCGTGGAAAACATTGGAAGCAGACCACAGCAGAAGAAATCTACCATAGGAAAACATCTTGACAGGTCCCCCCCCGTATAATTTTGATGGTGTGTTACGCAAATATGCGCGAGAGGTCGCCTACGCTCTCTCTGAGTATGGCACGAAGAACCTTCTTCTTCTTCTTTTTTACCAAAAGTCATTTGTATTTTCAATAACTGGTTTCTGAATTTTCAGTTACGTATGTGAAAAAAACTTCAATTACATTTGACTGAAAATTCAACCAGATTTTTTTAACAGTGTACCTAAACGCATTAGGACGTTTTTTCACAGGTTCGAATATGAAAGTAGCCACTACGATCTATCGCGCCTCTATGCGAAAAAGTGCATTAAAGAGGCCCACCAGCTGGGCAATGAAAAGTGGGTGTTCAACAGCACAATGATGATGCTGAAGAACAACCTGGCCGAACACAATAAGAACGATGCCAAGAACGATCTGGTGGTGGCGATGAATTGCGTGCAGAAGCTGCAGGATCCGGACAAAATCGACTTCATTGAAAAATGCCTAGATGTGGTGGAACATGTGGAGTTTGAGGACTTGTTCGGGAGCAAGCAGCTAGAGAAGCGGGAGAACCGGATCATCCAGATGATGACCAGCTCGAAGATGAAGGATGAGGTGGCGCATCTGTTCAGGCAAATGGCTGCAATGCCGGCGTCGAGGAGAATGACCGTAATGCCGGGCGTGAGGGTGGAGAACAAAGGCACCCAAAGAGTCTCTGCAAAGGCCCGAACCATGTCGATAATGCCCGCTTCCAGAGAGAATGAGATGCCGCCTACTAAAGCCAAAAGTGGGCTAAAGGAGATCTTCGACCTGCATGTTTGAGGTAATAAAAAGGGTCTGGAAAAAGTTAGCACATGTTTGGTGGTGTCCAATAAGCCGATAAGTCCTGGACATGTTTCTCCAAAAGTTTTCCTCAGTTGCAGGCTTCAACCAGAAGCAAATAGGGGCCAAACGGGGGGTCGACCCAAATTCGATATGTCCAATGTGTGGTACATATTGTTAAGCCAACGAGTTGCGGATATGTGTTTTAGGAAATAGATATTTGAGACGATGGAATTTAATTTTTTCTTCGGGGTGATTCAGAATAATTCTTGATGGCTTGAGGAACAGTGTAAATTATGTTTTTTTAAACTGACTCTATCGATTCCATCTGAATGACCTATCCGAAATTTTTGTTTGATTGATTTTCTGTCCAAAATCACGTTTTCCAAATTAACTGCACTAAACGGGTGTCTTAGAAGGAATTGCTGGAAAAGCTCAGAATGCGATTCTCAAGCAGCTACTTAACACTTCTGCCGTAAACAGACACTTAATTTATATGTCGCAGTTGCGAGTAAATCTCTTCCGGCGACAGTTTTCCATTATTGTCCCAAAACAGGGCTTCGTCTCGCCAGGGGCGCTTTTGTAGCAATCAGACACGCGCCCCTTAAATCTTTGTCAGTGTATTTCGAGAATGCGACATTCAACTTGGATGATTATCGACCACCGTTGAAGATGATAAAGAATAATTTTTAGAACTTTTTTTGGCAGATAAAGAAAAGCATTCTTTCATTTAATTAAAGTGCCCAAAGTTTGAAGTAAAGGAACGTTACATATGTTTTATTTTTGCCCTAAAAAGCTAAAAATAAAAGACAAAAAGTTTTTGAAAATTGCTCAAAATTGGATCCAACCATCAAGCTCATAATCAATCTAATAATTTCAACGGTATTGTTGAGAGGGTGATTGCCTGTTTCTAAAGGAACCAACTTTCCTCATTTGTTAAGCTCAATAATAAATCTGGATGTTAATTCTTCTTTGGCGTTTCGTCCTCACCGCGATACATAAAATTATAGTTTTAAAGGTTCACAGGCGCGATAAGACCCTATTGATGCAGTCGGCACGTGCCCTAATCCGGGAAAGCTTTCGGTGATGTTTGGACTTGATGAATATGGAGGAAATTTCGTTGTGTAAACGTTAAAAACATTTAACTCGCGCAAAATGCCAACATTTTAAATTGATGCGGGTGTTGAAAACCGCTCTTAGTTTTAGGCTCATATATAGAGAACCGGTTGATCTGTAAAGCTTTAGTTGCCATTCCTGAATAGAGCCTTAAAATTCGCACGTTTTAAAATTCAAAAACGTCGTTTAGGAAATGTTTCTGGTTTTCACGAAAAAAAAAAAATAATGCGCATGTTGAAAACCGCGTTTGACTTTTGGCTCATATTTGAAGAACCGCTTAAGCTGCACAGTTCTAGTTGTCACTGTGGTATAGAGCTTTAAATCACGCAATTTTCGATAGAAAACATTGTGTTAAAAATGTTTTTAGTTTTGACGGAAGAAGAAAAATTCAATATTAATGCGCATGTTGAAAACCGTTCCTAAACTTTTACTCATATTTAGAAAACCGGTTAAAACGCAAAGTTCTAGTTGTCATTTTTGAATAGAGATAATTTTTAAACAGAACCTTAAAACACGCATATTTTTGTATTAAACATCGCTTTAGAAATGTTTTCAGCTTTTATTGAAAAAGTGAAAATTCCAAATTAATGTGCATAGTTAAAGCCGCCCTTAGCTCATATTTAGAAAACCGGTTAAAATGCAAAGTTCTAGTTCTAATTTTTGAATAAAGCCTTAAAACACGCATATTTTTCTATTAAACATTGCTTTCGATATGTTTTTAGTTTTCATGGAAAGAAACAAAAAATCAAAATTAATGCTCTTTTTGAAAACCACGATTAGTCTTCGAGTCATATTTAGAAAAGCGGTTAAAATGCAAAGTTCAGGTTCTCATTTTTGAATAAAGCCTTAAAACACGCACATTTTTGTATTAAACATTGCTTTCGATATGTTTTTAGTTTTCATGGAAAAAACAAAAATTCAAAATTAATGCGCTTTTTGAAAACCACGATTAGTCTTCGAGCCATATTTAGAAAACCGGTTAAAATGCAAAGTTCAGATTCTCATTTTTGAATAAAGCCTTAAAACACGCATATTTTTCTATTAAACATTGTTTTCGATATGTTTTTAGTTTTCATGGAAAAAACAAAAATTTAAAATTAATGCGCTTTTTAAAAACCACTATTAGTCTTCGAGTCATATTTAGAAAACCGGTCAAAATGCGAAGTTCTAGTTGTCGTTTTTAAACAGAGCATTAAAACACGCATGTTTTTATGTAAAACACGGTTCTAGAAATATTTTTAGTTTTCACGAAAAAAGCAAAAATTCAAAGTTATTGCGCATATTCAAAACCACTCTTATTCCATGGCGGATGATTAGAGAACCGGTTGAGCTGCAAAGCTCTAGCTGTCATTGCGAAATAGAGTCTCTAAATGCGCACTTTTTTTGTAAAACATTGCTTTAGGAATTTTTCTGGTGTTCACGGAAAATGTGAAAAATTAATGCTTTGAATGTTCAAAACCGCTCTTAGCTTTTAGCCTCTATTTGGAGTCCCGGTTGAGCGGCAAAGCTCTAGTTAGTATTGCTGGATAGAGCCTTAACACACTCACCTTTATATATCAAACAGCAATTATTGAATGTTTAAATTTTTCACGAAAAATGTGAAAATTCAAAATTAATACTCATGTTGAAAACCGCTCTTAGCTATGGGCTCATATTAAAAGGTCCAGTTGAGCCGCAAAGCTCTAGTTGTCATTGCGCGAAAGCGCCTTAAAATTCACACTTTTTTTTATATATATAATATCATTTTAGGAATACTTCTAGCTTTCACGCAAATTGCAAAAATTCAAAATTAATGCGATTGTTGAGAACCGCCCTTAGTCTTTGGCTCATATTTAGAGTTCCGGTTGATCTGTAGAGCTCAGGTTGTCACTGCTGGTTAGAGCCATAAAATACACACTTTTATATACAACGTCGCAACTAAATGCGGTTGTTGAAAACCACTCTGGATGAAAATTTTCGAGTTAAGCACACAGGAAAAGCTAAGAACGGGGCAAAAGCCAATACAAGAAGGTCATTGTTTGAAACTAGTGCGCTTTCCGGGATTTTAGGACGTAACTTAGTGTCCACGACGTTTCCAGCTTCATTTCAATAAGTTTTTCGAAGCTTCCTGTCCATTTCCACACTGAAACTATATCAAATTTAATATTATCAGACTATGAAACTTAATATTGCCATGTTTGTCGTAAATAATTTGGTTGACACCGGCATGCTTCCTCGAGTTGAACTGGCTGAACACGAGGAAATGATATTCGGGTCCTAACGGAAACTGGCATGGATTATGCCAGGGAAATACATTATTCGCGACGAAACTGCGCTCTCTGCACTTCATGGTCTATGACTGATTATCCTTTGTCGTGTTGAATTCACTTGCAGAAAGCTGAACTGGCATGCGAAAAGGGATGGCTCGCTAGGGACCAGTTTCACCCCTTTCGGCACGAGCGAGCTGTATGTGTATGATTAGATCATGTTCCTGATTTTAATGCATGCAATGCGAAGGGATGAAACTACCCCTTTCGTTGGGAATTGCGCCTGCTTTCGTAATTTATCAATCTGTTTGGTCTGCGCTTTTTTGCTTTCAACTATGCATTTTAGTTACTGTTTACCACATTTTCATATACAAGTTCGGATTCATAGGCAAAATAAAACATGCTCGCATTTCGGGGGGGATCTCCTATGTAACATTTAAGCCAAGGCAGTAAAACTCTCCAAATAATGAAGCTCTGTAGATTGGAAAACTCAATTTGCAGCAAGTGTTCAACTTGAAGCACTTTCATCAGGGTTTTATTGCAATCTTGTAATTTTCATAACAAACCTCGAGTTGCCAGTGCGAGCCCTAAAGTAATCGGAAGAGGGGTGCCAAAATCTAACCCTCGGCTCGATTGAAGGTTTTTATTCTAATCACCCCTCCGCTTGGGGTTTCTAAAATTGCGTCGCGGAACTGTTCGTTTGGTTAATCGGATCCGGACTGGTCATATTAGGGACGAAATGCTAGATTTAGCTGCTACATACTATGGCAAAAGGGCACTGTTGCATGCACCAAAAATGTCAAGTTTTCCCTTTCTTCGGAACTTATCGAGAGTGTTTAAGCCGGAGGGTTGATGCCTAAGTGAAGGGAAAAGCTGGAGTTTTCGATTGAGACCCTGCCAGTTCTAATATAGATTTTTTGAGCTTTTGCGAACAAAGACGTTCAAAGACGTATTGAACATCGAAATTTGAAACACCCATATATCTTTTTGCCTCTCCTCGTGCTGTTTTAAACCTCTCAATACAAGGTTGCTAAAGTTTCTATGCCTGCGAATTCCTGAAGAATAAACGCAAACTGGACAATGTAAGAATCTACGCAAATACACATTAATTTGGTGTTTTTAACATGAAAATATGGCTAAGAGTGATTGGGAAAATGCAATTTAAATTTTTCAGCAGTTTATTCTTTTATTTCGGGTTTCGTTTTTTCTTTGCTATTTTCTCAAAAAAGGTGTTTAAACAACTAGAGGTTAAAAGAAAAGTGCAACAAGCAAGCGAATTTTTAGCGCATTTTTTTTGACATCCCTGTTCTTGAGAAACTTCGAAAAAAGCAGCGCCATGTTCAAGTGGATTTTGCAACTCAAAAAAAACCACGCAAATCTAAAACT